GGTCATGCTGTTCCCATGATTCCGGATCAATAGGCAAAGTATCAAGGGTTTTGCAGGCCCTGTGCCTCCCCCATTCCTTTAGAAAAGTAGAAAACAGCATGGCTCGGCCCACAGGCCGCTCGGCCACAGGCCGCTCAGCAAGTGCCTCATTCACCCAGCGGGGTGGGCCGGGCCAGCCTGGCAGTGAAGAATTCATTTGCTGACACCTTTTGTGCTGTTCCTATGGCACAGCAGATAGGCTCAGCGAGGGAGACGAGAAGGAAAAGGGCACAGTGCTGTCAGGCAGTCTGCAGCCTGAGCAAGAGGGGATGGTGGCAGTGAGCCGTTAAGGGTTGGCAGTCTTCTGTTCCCGGCCTGTGGCCACATGCTCTCTGCAAGTCACGCTGCCTCGTGATTGCTATCTGTGAACCACCTCTGAGCGAGGTCGGGACACCTGGCAGAGAGTGGGGGACAGGCCTCCCAAGTTGCAGCCTGCCCTCTAACCCTGGCCTGGCCTGGGGTCCTTGAACATGCCAAGCAGCCCCGACCTTGGGACCATGCCACCCACCGGTCCCTCTCTTGATAGGTGCTCGCGCTCTGCATCAGATCGCTGCTCTGTTGTCACCTTCTCTAACTGCGAGAATTTATCCAAAGTAAATTCCCACTCTGTGAGCCCAACCCCTCAGCCTGCTTTATTTTTTCTTGCTGTCGGTTACATTACATAACCTTTTGTATGTGTGTGTTTCCACCCCAGCCTGGACTCTTTGTTCCCTCGGGCCTTAGTAAGGCACCTGGCACATAGGAGGCACCCAGGAAGTGTGTGATGTGAATGAAGAAATGTGCACACGGGAGCAAGGGTGGGAAATGTGTAGCTGACTAGACAGAAATGGCATTGTGTGGAGTGAAGGATGGAAGAAAACCTTTGGTGCTGATGTCTCTCGGTGACTTTTGTAAAAACAAACCTGTTTAAGACGGTTACCGTACATGTTGGCAGTGGGCGTGGTAGGGGCACAGTTTGGGGAAAACCTTTAACACGGCAGAGCCCAGCACAGAAGCAGGCCTGTGAGCCATGGATCAGGACTTTGCTGGTCAATACGCCCAGCTCTGTGCATCCTCCTTCCTTTCAACACAGACGTTTCAGCAACTCTCTCTCTGAAAACTATATTTCCCACTTAAGTCTTTTCAGAGACTGTTTCACTAGATTTTTTTAAAATTACGTTTTTATTGATTTTTAGAGAGAAGAAGAATGAGGGAGAGAGAATAAAAACATCAAGGATGGAAGAAATATTCATCGGTTGCCTCCTGCATGCCCCCTACTGGGGATCCAGCCCACAGCCACTGAGCCACACTGGTCGGGCCCGCTGGCTATTTTATGTGCTCCCAAGTTTGACTGTGAAAAGTTCTGCAAGCCTGAGAGAAGCCTTCTCCAGCGGAGAGAAACGCAGTGTGAGAAGATGTGCTGTTGCTGACAACCACCTCTCGAGTGTGCTTTGGTGTGATGTTTCTTCTGAGAGAGACAGGAGTCTCCTGCGCCTACCCGCTTCCCCGGGCCTCTGCTCGAGATGGGTTTAGTTCTGGATTATTCAGGACAGATGGTTGTAACAGAACTCTTCAGTGCCTCCCAGTACTAAGTTCCACACTCTGGCAGCCTGCTGCTGGGTTCAGTACACTTGGACTGAAATTTCGCCGTATGTTTCATCAAGCTGTTTTTCTGTGGCCGTGATGTTAGCCTAGTTTCTCCAGTTCAGCTTTGTCCTGGGCATTGTCCTGGTGATGACAGGACATTTGTACCGCTTTCTTTTTTCTTTTTCTTAAGTCTACTCATGTTTTTCCCTCCTCCCCAACTCCACACTACAGGTCTGTTTTTTATCATTTTAAAATATTTCTGTGCTCCTATTTCCAGCTTTTCTGGAAACCTTGTATGGAAACCAAAACTGGTCACACTCACTGAAAGGCCTCTTAGTTAAAAATCATTATGATCCTCGGACTGCCTTTGTCAGGGATCTTCCGGTGCTAGATCCCAGGATACTGTTACGTAAACCTTATTTTTACAGTGTGTTATCAAACATGTATATGCATCATTCTAACAGCTGCTCTTTAGCAAACTGGATCTTGTGTTTGGCTCACAGCATCTTGCACGTCTGGTTTGTTTGAGGTCTCCAGGAACGCTCCTTTCTGTTTCTTCCTGTTTGGCAATCATGTACACCTTAGGTGTTTGGTATGTGTGCATCTAATTTGCATGCTCATTTTAGCCCCATCTTTCCTGTTTAGAGAATGTCTTCCGAGGTATTAGCATGCCTCCACCTCTGTTGCTGTGCCCCTGGGGGTGATAGGACTTGAAGTGGACATTGTGGGTTATCACAAGAACTGGGGCTTGCTGGTGGCATTTCATGGACAGGCCAGGGACAGAGTGCCAGCAGTGCCTTCGAGTTGAGCCTGTGGCAAACACAGTAAGAAGCCTTTATGGTAGGCTTCCGGCACTGCCCTAAGGGCACTATTTGACCTTCTTAACCTTAAGAGGCATTACATGTTTCTCCCATTTTATAGATAGGAGGTTAACTAGCGTGTCCAAAGTCACATTGCTAGTAAGTAGAAAAATAAGTTTCAAACCCAGATTGTCTGATGAGAGGGCAGCACTGAACCACTTCATCACCTGCAGCCTGGTTGGTATGCCTGCTCTCAGCTCCTTCACGCTGAGTACCTGAATAGTAGGCCCACCAGTAAGCGGTATACCCATCCAGTCATAGCAGGGTCTAGATTTGAAATGTCTTGGAAGGCGCAAGTCTGTCCCTGAGAGACAGTTTGTCCATCAGCAGTTAGTTTCCCAATAGTTGTGGTTTTTATGACCTTGTTCCTCCATGAGCAGTCTCTATTTGCTTTTGATTGAGGTGCAGGGGACCCTGTGCCTGCACATGCAGGGCCTACTCCATCTCAGACGAAGCTAAATTGTGTGTCAGAGTGAGTTCAATTGCACAAAAACATGATGGTTGTCTTCCAAAATTTGCATTTTCTAGATGATTTTCAATAGATTATGAAAACATAGATACCGTTATCTTTTTTTTTTTTTAATGGCAATGTTGCTAGCAGCCTTTAATAGATAAAACATTTCTTATTTAAGCATGGAAACGTTTTTAAGAAAAATTCTGCTGAGGAAATGTGAAGTTTAACAGATTCTTCTTAAGATGCTCCAGTCTGGGGTAGGAATGTGACTCAAGATAAGAATGGTCTTAGGGATGCAGTATGTTAAAGAGCAGTTTATTTTTAAATGTCAGAAGTGACCTAGTGGCCTGGTGTATAACTGTTGGAGGCAAAGGTGGTATACCTAACTGCTGGCTCTGTGGTGGCTTGTTGGTTTCTAGCCATGGTCAGAGACATGAGTCACCTCCCTGACCAGCACCCTGGTAGCTACTCAGTGTCGTTGTGGCTTCACCTATCTCTTATCTCTTATCTCTTATCTCTTATCTCTTATCTCTCCGCGGGGCTGGAGATAGCCCATTAGGTAACTTCACATCAGCCAAAGCACACAAAGCTCCACTGTGCTGAGCGGAGGAAGAGGGGTAGCATTAAATGATTAACAGCTGGGTTAAATAAAACTGGTGCTTGCCTTTGCTCTTGGAAGGTAAAATGTTTGTGGTTCTATCTGTAAGAGTCGTGGCCAGGAAAGTTGAAAATGTATGTCTCCTGTAGTTAGTATAGAAAATCTAGACAATTTGTGTATAAAAAGTTGCTTATCTGCCCTATAAATGTCCATCTTGAATAAGGGGGAAATGAAGGGAATTATGAAATCTTGGAAGATGGAGTTAGAGATGTAACTATTGATTTGATACAATCCTCAAGATGTTTTATTAAGTGAAAACAAGTAATATATACAGCAAGTCCTCGGATAAAATAATTTCGTTATAATGTTGATGAAATGCCATGAGAACGTAACTCTTGTTTTTATCAATTAGCTTATGGTAAAAATTGGTTTCATTTTCCCATAGTTCATACTAAGGATGTTAAGTGAGGATTTACTGTATTTCTCAGTATAACAGTATTTTTCTAAATTTCTTTTTTTTTTTCTGTGACACCTCTTCCCCCTTTAAGAATATATTTTACATCACAGCTGAGTACATCATACCTAGAAATATGCTACAATAACATTAAAAATTTAGCCCTAACATTTACTATCGGGGAAAGGGAGGGAGGAAGAGACTGAACATAAACTGTGCACCTATGGATGAGGACAATGGGGGAGGAGAAGGGGGTGGAGGGTGGGGTGGGATCCTGATGGAGGGGGGAAGAAATGTGAAACCTTTGTAATAATATGAACAATAAAGATTGATTTAAAAAAAATTTTTTTAAATAAAATAAAAAAATTTAGCCCTAACTGGTTTGGCTCATGGATAGAGCATCAGCCTGCAGACTCAAGGGTCCCAGGTTCGATTATGGTCAACCTTGGTTGAGGGCACATATCCAGTGCAGGAGGCAGCTGATCGATGTTTCTCTCTCATCGATGTTTCTAGCTCTCTATCCCTCTCTCTTCCTCTCTGTAAAAAGTCAATAAAATATATTTTAAAGTAATAATAATAATAATAATAATAATAATAATAAAAGTAGCAAGCAGAGAAAATCACCTTTTCACTGTGGCATTCCTTCCTTTAATACAGCACTTCCTGTCTTTGTCCTTGTTCTCTTGACTCCACGTTGTTCTTGCCCGGAAGGGAATCCCCTCCTGTCTGCCACCTTTCCGTCCAGTTTCACTCTTCTCCCCACTGAGATTTCAGCTTCACGGGGTGTTTTTATGGAACTGAGAGTTTAGTCCGGCACTTCTAAAGTGAATTCACGGGGTTGTGTCTTTTCATTTTCAAATTAGAACTAGCACATAAGTTACCTTTATGAGTTTAAAAAAACATTTTCACATAAGGAATTTAACCTTGTCTATAGCATATTCTTGGAAAATTTGTTCTTTTAGGAAATATACTACATTTTGAGTGGAGCTTAATCAATGTCTTTTTTTTTTTTTCTTAATAGGTTTTAAAATGGAACATTTTGATGCATCACTTAGTACCTATTTCAAGGCATTGCTAGGTCCCCGAGGTAAGGTGGTTTTTGGTTTTGCGTCCTTTCCTCTCCCTACCCTTCCCCCCTTCCTGGACACAGCCACTTGCAAATATTGTGTGATGATATTCTAGAAAACATTAGCATTTTCTGGGATAAGACTAATGCCTTGTCCTGGGTAACGAGGGGCTTGGAGAATTCCTCTGATGGTTACTGAAATGGTGCCGCCTCCCGGGCTGGAGCAGAGACACAGCTCTTGTGACCCTCTGCTTGTTTTAGCAGGAGATCAAATTATGCTATCAGGCTTGTAGCCTGAAAATGCCAAGATTTCACCATTATCACCTGTATGTTTTCCTCAATTCTTATGAGTCTCCAGCTGAAACTGGCTTCCATAATGCACTATTGCACTAGGACAGTGTTTCGCAAACTTCTCTCATGATGAGATTCACCTGGTGGAGTTGTTAAACTACAGATTCCTGAATCCCAACTAAGAAGTGCTAAACTAGAATTTTGGGAACATATAGGTAAAATTGTATACTTAACTAGACAGATTCCTGAATCCCAACTAAGAAGTTGGGGAATATGTCCCCAAAAATTCTAGTTTAGCACTTCTTAGTTGGGATTCAGGAATCTGTAGTTTAACAACTCCACCAGGTGATTCTCACCGTGAGAGAAGTTTGGGAAACACTGCACTAGGAGTTTAAAACTCTTTCCCTTTGACCATTGTCAGGTTTTTTTAATGCCCCTTCCACGTTGTGTCACATCAACAAGTAAATATATACGCATGCATTCACATTTTACTGCACTCATATCTCTTCATCTTTTATTATCTCTTAGGAAGTAAATCAGCTCCTCGATTGCCTTCCTTTAATGTCATCAAAAATGTTTCTCAGTGTCTGATCTATAAAAAAGGAACTTTTTAGGTTCACATAAATAATTTACAGGGAAACTGCAGTTTTAAAACACAGAAGAAAGCAGTTTATTCATATGGCAGAGATAAAATGTTTGATGCCATTTGTGACAGTGTGAGGGTGTGGAGAGAGAGTCTAAGTTGGTGTAATCTCTCTGGAGTAGTTGTGTCTTCTATTGAAAATAAAATGTGCATGCCCTTTGACTCAGCTGTTTGACTCCTAAGAATTTATCCTACACCTAATCCTGATCAGTTATGCAAAGATGAACATCAGGATGCTCTTTATGGCATTGCTTGTCAAAACTGAGGTAACCTAGATGCCCATTCATAGGGGACGGGTTAAATACATTTGTGTACAGCCCCACGGAAAAGAACGAGTTAAATCCCCCTGTATGCTTGTGTTGGGACGATGCCCCCACTTTAGTGTAACGGGACCCCAGAATTCCATTTTCACTAGCTGAAACGATAATAAAACTTACTAGCTTGCATTATAAGATCATCAACTCCTGAGTTATTTCAGGGGCTGAGTTCTGTTAAGCAATCCCTGTTCTTGTCATTTTCTATTTTGCATTCTCAGTACAGCAGCAGCTCTATCCTCAGCTCAGGTCCTCCACCCGTCGTGTTGGGATGGCACAGAGGAGTCAGAAATCTCATCTGCATGGGTTTACAAACAAGGAATCCCTTCCTTGAGCCCCTCACTAGCTGTCATCTTCTCAAAGCTCAGTGGCCATCTTCGCTTCACATACCCATGTCTGTACCAGTCACCAGAGAGTGGGTGAGGATGACCATGATTAGCCAGGTCCCAGTCACCAGGGAGGTACAGGCTCTGAGGAAGGAGGTTGGATACTTGCTAATATAAAACGATGAAGATCTGTTATAAAACTTAAAAAGCAAGGTGCAGACAGAGCTTTAAGTAAAAGGAAATGGGAGGTTTCTGGGTGTGCGCTTATTGTGTTTGTGATACATAACGCACACGCAAACATCTGATGTTAGTTGCTAAGTGGGAACTTGTTTTCTCAGAATTGACAGCTGAAAACAAAGGTGTTAAGAATTCCCTTGCTGGGCTCACTGGGGCCGGCCATTTCCCTTCTACCACACTAGCCCAACTCTAGTGGGAGAGGGTAGAAAAGAAAAGCCAGGAAACCTGGGGGAGAACTTAAGGTATCTGCAGGAAAGCAGACTGTCAGTAGGTCCTCCCAATATACACACGCTTGTCCTATGAGGTCAAGGGAAAAGCACTGGAGAGAAGAGCAAGGTGGTGTAGCCAGGAGGTCAGAGAAGGAGCTGAGGCTGTCCCTTTCAGCTGCTGTGACTTGGAAGACCCAGGATGCGAAACCTGCATGTGCTTCTGAGCTCCTGAGAAGGGGGCCTTGGAGAAGCCACCAGATTTGGGGGCTCTCCAGGGCAGGATACCGAGGTGAACTGGCTGCAGAGGTCGCTTCCTAGGAGTCGGCTAGAAGAGGAAATTGAATCTTGCAGCAGACAGATAACACCTAGGGGATATGGCTTCCAGGGAGTTGACTCCCATCCCTGGAAAAGGTTGTCACCTTGCTGCTGGCAGCTACTTAGAACTAATTTTCTTTTGTTCTCATTCCTGCCTAGGAAACGGGGTGGGAACTAGAGTGTTCTCTCCTAGACCTACTAGCTCCCTGGAAACCATGTAGGTCTTCTCAAGCCTCTACTCCTCACTATTTAATACCTTAAATAGTCACTTACTGGTCATTGCTGCTTCAACCTCACTTTAAAAAAACAATCCTGCCCTGTGCTGGTGACCGTTGCACTCCCAGCAGATGCTGCCTGTCAAATCAGTGACTGTCATTAAGCTGGCTAAGTGGCACGCTGCCTCTGAGTCTGCATGCTGGGAGGGCTTGCTGACTCTTGGCTGAGAAGGACGACTTCGGAGTTCAAAGACTGCCTTGTCTAGGGTTTCATTACCCCATGCATAATTTAACAAACCTGGTTGATAAATCCAGTTAATGGGCAATTTAGCTTTCTCTCTTTTCTTCTTAAGGTATTTTGGAAAGGATTTTTTAAATTATTATTTTACTTAGCAAAAATCATGAGTAATATACACATTATTGTTCAGAACATGTACCAGGGAGCTTCATCTTGGATGACACAGACCGAAAACCTAACGCTTCCTCTTGTTGCTCCGTTGGTAATAGGAACATTCATATTAGGGAACTATTATAAAGTTGTGGTTAGAGAAAATTTTTTTTTTTTTGATATTTGAAAAATGTTGTGGTGATCACTAACTATTGTATCTTTATTATTTTTCAGATACCAGAGTAAAAGGATGGTTTCTTCTGGACAATTATATACCTACTTTTATCTGCTCCACCATATACTTACTAATTGTGTGGCTGGGGCCCAAATACATGAAGAACAGGCAGCCGCTCGCTTGCCGAAGAATTTTAGTGGTGTATAACCTTGGGCTCACCTTGCTGTCTCTCTATATGTTCTGTGAGGTAGGTCTGAGGTTACCACGGGCTTCCTCTCGCTTAACTCTGCTCATATTGCAATCCTGAATTGTGTTCCTAAATGAAGAAGGTGGTAGGGGACCTGGGAGAGCAAGTTCATTAATACACTTTGAGAATGTTTGAAAATTGATATTTCAAATGCCAGCATTGTTTGCCCTCTGGAATATGTGAAATAGAAGCCTTTGCTATTGATTCTCATGTTTCGTATTATATTTAGAAGTAAAATAAATATTTCAGAAATACTCTTATGTGAGCAGAATACAGAGTGGAAAATGAACTAAACGTGAAAAAGAGATCTTTGAGCATTTTATTATAAGTATTTAATAGATGGTTCTTGTTTGGGGGTGGGGAGGAAGGAAGTGGGTGTTACCAGTGTTTGGTTGTGTATGTGGTAAGTCAGCCTTCATCTTGATCTGATAACTGTAAACAGGTTTGAGATTTGACAAGTTATTTTTTAAAAGCTAAGAAGAGTGGATAGGAGATCTGTGTTAAGGCTTGAATGGTCTGCATATATTCAGACCCAATTATTTCTTATATATAACTAGAATGTTGGAGACCACATTGATGATCTCAAACTCAAATGTAGCTTAAATAAAAATGAAAGACAAACCAGAATCGATACTCTGTCCTTCCTATTTTGCAAGCCTTTAAAAGCTTGGGGGAGGAGGGGGCACTGCCCTCCAGTGGTAAGCACAGTTTTAGGCGAAAGACTACACCTTTCAGGCTTACAACACAGAACTATTGCTACATCTGTGGGGTGGAGATTTAAGCAATACATAAAACAGACATTTTTAAACAGTCCTGTTCATATTTTTGACCTTTTATTGTGACTTTAATTCTCCCAGGAGTAGTGAATAAGATAAAAGGGGAAAAAGAAGGGAGTGCTGAATACAAATCTTAAAATTAGTGTTTAGAGAAAGAATAAATTTGGGGTCAGCCTCAGGCTATGATGTCTCCCTATCTGCGTGTGGCTGGCTGTGTATGAGAATGGATATGGGTGTATAAGCTATTGGGAAACACTGCATTTGATCATCAGAGGTTTTGCAGCAATGGGAGGTCTGCATCTTGTTCTCCCACACGTATTTCATAAGCCACGGTAACGATTTTGTGACTAGAACGCTAGATGCTACTATCATTACTTTTATGCTTGACTCTGTCAGATGCATGCAACTCCTCGTTTGCTTTGTTTCTGTCCTGTTCTAGAACAGAGGCAGTTTAATTTGCCTGCACGATGGAGATGGCAGGACTGGAGGCAGGGCCAGTGCGCAGGAGGGATCCAGGCCCCAGCACCGCACATCTCTGTGTCCCAGGGACACAACCGCAGCCAGCTGGCAGGCTTTTTAGGCTAAACCGTTTTCTTCCTCATAATTGATAGATGCATGAGCTATTTCATTAAGAAAGCTCTCACAGGGTTTCTTACTACATACAGCAATCTAGAGAAAAAAATATGTAAGATTATTAAGTCTTATAGAACGTAAGCACCTGATGCCTTGAATGTTTCTCTGACCCTACGACAGAGCAGTGGCTTCCTCGTATAACCTCTCTTAAACAGGTTACTTCTTGATGAAGGGGACGGGGGACTGGGGGGGGGGGGGAGTGCTGCATAAATTGCTGCTTTGTATACATGAGTGAAGCATTATAATAAGTATAGATTTTCTTCTGACAGCTTCATGAGCACAATAGAAGGCAATGAGCGGTGCCTGTGCATTGACTATGGAGATTTAAGAAATATACAGAGATGGAAAATAACAATTTAACTCACAACTTAAAATACATAGAGAAGTCATAGATAAGGGGGGAAGCAATAATTCCCTAAATCAAATTAAGATTATAAATTGTACCCAGATCAGATATGCCTGAGTTTGAAATCACCCCTGGTACTCCAACATAAAAGATAGTTACACTTGGCTTTCCCCCCCCTCCCCCTCTGTACTAACATAAGAAATGATGAACTTATAACATATCGTTTGTCAGGTTTTTTCACTTCATTTTCACTACGGTTTTTCCTTTTGTGCTTAGCACTTATATTCTAGGGACTACTAAAGCAGGAGGGCAGCCAGGGAGCTGTAGAGCAAGATGGTCATGGAGCCCTGTGGGCCCTGGTTTCAGAGAAGTATCCCAAGAGTTAGAGTCAGTTGATATGGTCATGATCGTTAATCTTGACCTTCTTGCTTATCTACATATTTGGGTCTGTAAAGAATTTAAAAAATAAATGTTTAGTCATTGATATTTGTTTATTTAATCCTGTGGCGCAAATTCACAGCTGCCTTTGCAAGTTCTAGGTTAAGACAAAAAAAATTGTCACTAAAGCAGACCAGGAGAAATCTTGAAAGAAAAGAAAAAAAAAGAAAATGGTGGGTAATCACAGAAACTGTAAAATTTCTAGAAGAAGGTAAATACATGACAGTTTTAAAATCGAGTAACTGAGTTTAAAATATAGAAAGAAAGGAGACTTGTTCGTAGTTTATGCATTTGTTAGGAAGAAAATTAAAAAGAGAATTGTGACATTACTTTTACTTATCTCATGAGTTTAGTGCTTATTTCCAGGAAAAAGGTCATAGATCCCTGATTAAAGTATATTTGAACAGCGAGATGTTTTAGATTGAAAGTATAGGAGTTTATGGCAAGACTTTTAGCTTTTACTTGTTAAATTAGAGGTTATCTAAGATACAATCAATAATAATCTTATTTCTTATTCAGAAATAAAAATTGAAGCTATAAAAAAAAAAACCCAACAACTTAGTTTGCATTATCTCAGCTTTGTAAAAGTTCCCCCGTAGCAAACATAAAAGCCTTGTGTTCCTTTCTATCCTCAGAGTGTCAGGGCATATTTCATGTGAATAAAATGTGTGTGTGTTTGTTTAACTATCTACTTGTCTTTCCCCTTGTCCCAAACTCTGATTGGGAATCCCCACCTACCCAATGCGAAACTGTGGCTTTTCCAAATTACGAGGCAGCACTTGCATTTCCCATGGCCCACCCAGCAAGCTGTCTGATCTACTTTGTGCACACATATCAAGCATGAGCTTCCCACTTAGGCAGCTGCTCTGTCCTGATGTGGAACCATTTTGGTGTGTCTGCTGTCTTCTCTTTGCTTCGTCCTCACCACTAAGCAGAGGGGAACTAAGTGCTTGATTTGTTACAGTCCAAGAGGGACCGTCCCTGTTCAGCCTACTCCCTGCACTGATCCTGGGACTTTTCCATAGCTGCGGGGGTTAGTATTGCACAGCCCACATGACTTTGAACCGAGAGAACTGCCTGCTAACCTCTCCTTAGGAGGAACCACTGAGCTTTCGTAACCTGTCCATTATGCCCAGCTCTACTCCACTGCCCCTGCTCCCTCCAACACCAGGCTCTTTAATTCTTTGGTCCCTACCCCTTAAAATCACCCTCTTTCTTTCTGACCTAGGCCCATCTCAGTTTGACAGCCCTATCTCATTTTTGAGAACTCGATTCATTTTTGAGAATGATTCAAGGATCATTTCCTCTGTGAAGCTGTGAGGGGACTTGGCTACAGGCATGATTTTTCAGCGTAGTTTGCTTTCCCATTCCCAAGGAATGTGACACATATTTTTCCATTAAAAGGCTGTGCCCATTAGAGTCCTCTCACACAGATCACAGGCTTGCAGGATGCCCATCCTGACCATGTTTATTCCAGATCTTTTCTTCCCTTGCTGGTATGGTCCACCTACTGTGTCCTAAGCATTAGGATAGAGCAGTGGTCAGCACACTCATTAGTCAGTAGACCGGCCAACCGAGGCTCACGAGCTGCAGTTTGCCAACCACAGGGAGAGAGGAAAGCAAATGCCAGAGCCACCGTTTACTTTATCTAACAAAGACAAATCACAGATTACAAAAAGATTATTTTTTTTTTTTAGTATTTATATGTGTTTATTTCCTTGCAGTTAGAAGTGTATGTTGTGAGTAGTGGGAGAGAATCCTCTGACACACACACATTCAGGCTTTTAAAGTGTAATTTTAAAACAGTGATTGACAGCTATGCATTTAGATTGGCACAGATCCAAAACGTATTCTTTCTTTCTCTTTGCAATTTTCACATTAATTTGTAATTTTGGAACTACTTTAAAATATGGAAAATAAAATCACATAAGTGATAATCTATGCACTTAACAAATATTAACATTTTCTTATTGGTTTGAATTTTTTGTCTGTAAAAGAAATCATTACAAAATGCATTTATCTTTCTTCTAAAGTTCATATGTTTCTTCTCTGTATATATTTTTATGCTTTTACTATATGTATACATGACAATATATAGTATATTCTGAGATAGTTTTTTTAATTTACATAAATGGTATACTGTTTATATTCTTTTTCAAATAACTTTTTTCATTTGACATATTTTGAGATAAATCCATGTTGAATTTTAAGGTTAATATATTTGGTTTAACTTCTCTGTTATTTCAGTGTTAGAATTTCTTATACCATTTTATCTGTGATTTTTTTTTTTTTAATGGACATAAGGTTTCCAATTAAAAGATATGTTGAATATCCTTGGATATGTCTCCTTGTGCAAATGTGATTGTTTTGTTCTGTTTTTACCAGATACTCATATGGGAGTTTAATGACCCATTCTGTCAGTCTCTTGTCTTTTAGTGGGGAAATTTAGTCCATTTTCATGTAGCATATAAATTATTTGGAATAATTTCTGTCTTTTTTTTGTGTGCATACATATTTTCTTTGTTCTTTTTTTGGTTTGCTTCCTTTTGAATTTTATATATTTTTTATTTTACTGATTTAAAAGTTATTTATCTAATTCTATTAGTTACCCATATTTTTTTATTTTTTGTTAACCCTCACCAAGAATGTTTCTTCCATTGATTTGTGGGTTGTGTTTTTGTTTGTTTTGTTTGTTTTTTTGAGAGAGAGAGTGTAAGGAAAATGGAGAGAGAGAGAGAAGTAGACACTGATCAGTTGCCTCCTGCATGCACTCCAACTCGGGTTGGGAATCAAACCTACAACCCAGA